TAAGGTTAACTGACTGTTCCATGGTTTTTACAACTAATTTTAAATAATATTACAAGTACCCAAAAGGAAATACTCCGATTTTTTGGGGGTTACCAGAAATTTTACCAATTTTACTAGATGAAATTTGCTTATGTGTACTGTCCCAAACATTGGGGCAAAAAAACGTTATGTTAATGACAATTAAAATGTATGTTCCCTTCAATCACGCAGGGGGCGGGTTTTCCACGGGGCCAAACAAAGGGCTTCCTTCACGCTCACAAAAAATTTTTAAATTAACAGCACGAGCGGTGTTTCCAGGGGGTTTGGAAAAAAAAAAAACCCCCACTTTACTCCACAAAAACCCCCGCCCACCCCTTTTCTTACCCAATACATCCACGTTTTAGAGAAATATTGGGAAATAATTTTCCTTTGGGGGTCTGGGGCGGGATAATGAGACCAGCTGGGATTAAAAAATAACGGGAAATTTATTAATGGGGGCTGCAATAGTTTATTTTCTTTTCTGTGGGATATTTTTTTTCCTTTCTTTTCCTTTCACTTGAATTTCTGGCTAAATCAAAATCCCCGCCGTCTTCGTTCCGCTGAGACGTCACCTCTTGAAACTTGCGAGGGAACTAAAGTTTGTTAAAGGGCAATACATCTTTCTTAGTTCAAAAATTCCTTGTATTTTTAAATACACAAGTTTTTACAAAAAAATTGGGTATTTTAACCCAAACTCAGGGATTTAAAAATTTTTATTTTCTCTAATCTCGGGGGATAAACACACACACACACACAACCAAACACACACACACACACACACACACACACACACACACACACACACACCACCACCGCCAAAGCACACGCACCACACACACGTCTTAAAACATAAACAAAATGGTTTTAAAAAAAAACGAAGCGAAAACTAGACATATATTAGAAAAGTTTCGGCCCTAACCTGTCATTTTAACATACGATTGAAAGACATTATAATAGGGGGAGAGTGAGGGGTGAGTGACGCATGGGGACCTAAAAAATGATAAATTAGACACCATTCATCTACTACCTGAAGAATGACATATTGGAATGAGGGGGGTGACGAGAGATCATTGACATGTTAGAAGTGACAAGGGCCCAACCGAAAACGTTTTTTTAAAAAATGCCCTAGGTTTTGCTTAGGGGTTTTTCTAAACCAACTTGTCGGATTAATTACTAAGGTTTATACCTTAAGACAAATGTTTGTACAAACACAAATGGTTTTACAAACCCCATCATAACATAATCCCTGGTTTCCAAAACAAACCCAGGTAAAAATTTTGGGACAAACGGGGATGCAAAAGCACCCTGTTAATTGGTTGGATCACAAAAAATATCCCTAAAGGGAAAAAATGGGAAATAGTGCTGGATCGGGGTTACTGAGTGGGTGCTTAAATCAATTTAACCCCGCCATCAATGTTTAAGAAGGGTTTTCAGGGGTTTTTCCCCCATCTTTTGTTTATGAAACAATGTTCAGGTTACTTGCCCTCTTGGGGGCACTAGAAGGGGTTTTTAGGGGATTTTACCTCTTCTGGTCAAATCTGGGTTACCCCCTTTTCCCCCTGAACGCTAAGACTTCCTTTCACTCTTCATTGTATTAAAAATGATTTCAATAACAGGAACCGTCCCCTAGGGGATCATTTCCGTGAGATGGCGAGAGCATCAAGAGGGGTGGAGACCGGCCTGGTGTTGGCTCTCTAGCAAGACCCAGTTGACCTCCGTTCCTCCAGGTTAAATTTATCCACCCACGCCTACACTATCAAGGTATTTTATTACACCACTTCTCTTACTGTACCACCACTAATGTGGTGGTATGGTACAATTTGGTACAAGCAAATTCCCCAGCACCGTTGATAGGCTGCGGCCTAAGTCGCTTTAACGGGAGATCACTTCCCATTACTCCAGGCGCTGTAAAACTCTCAGGTATATTATTATTAGTACAATCTTAATTAAGCGGTGAACTCATTAGAGTCATATGGTTTCTCTCCAATATAAACGTTCAGGTTTTATAACTATGGACACCCATAAAGTTTTTGTCTTTTAAGAACTCTCAAGTAGCTCCTAGGATGTCATTTTTTTTACATAATTTATTAATTTATTAGAGAATAAACTTTGAATTTGAATTTGAAAGATTTTACGAAAAGAAGTTACAGATATTATGAATACTGATATAGTTCCCCCCCTCTCCCGGGAGGTATATTTCCAGATATTCCTTTACATACGTTGGATACTGATATAGTTCCTACCTCATGTGAATCCAAATATGTCCCGTTAGCCTTAATTCATTTTAAAGTTCATTAGAAAACACGAAGAATGGTATGGTTTCTTCTCTATACAAAACCTAAAGTGGATCTTTTTTTTTTTCAACAAGTCGGTCGTCTCCCACCGAGGCAGGGTGACCCAAAAAAAGAAAGAAAATCCCCAGAAAGAAAATGCTTTCATCATTCAACACTTTCACCACACTCGCACATTATCACTGTTTTTGCAGAAGTGCTCAGAATACAACATTTTAGAAGCATATACGTATAAAGATACACAACATATCCCTCCAAACTGCCAATATCCCAAACCCCTCCTTTAAAGTGCAGGCATTGTACTTCCCATTTCCAGGACTCAAGTCCGACTATATGAAAATAATCGGTTTCCCTGAATCCCTTCACTAAATATTACCCTGCTCACACTCCAACAGATCGTCAGGTCCCAAGTATCATTCGTCTCCATTCACTCCTATCTAACACGCTCACGCACGCTTGCTGGAAGTCCAAGCCCCTCGCCCACAAAACCTCCTTTACCCCCTCTCTCCAACTCTTTCGAGGACGACCCCTACCCCGCCTTCCTTCCCCTATAGATTTATATGCTTTCCATGTCATTCTACTTTGATCCATTCTCTCTAAATGACCAAACCACCTCAACAACCCCTCTTCTGCCCTCTGACTAATACTTGAATTAACTCCACACCTTTTCCTAATTTCCACACTCCGAATTTCCTGCATAATATTTACACCACACATTGCCCTTAGACAGGACATCTCCACTGCCTCCAGCCGTCTCCTCGCTGCTGCATTTACCACCCAAGCTTCACACCCATATAAGAGTGTTGGTACTACTATACTTTCATACGTTCCCTTCTTTGCCTCCATAGATAACGTTTTTTGACTCCACATATACCTCAACGCACCACTCACCTTTTTTCCCTCATCAATTCTATGATTAACCTCATCCTTCATAAATCCATCCGCCGACACGTCAACTCCCAAGTATCTGAAACCATTCACTTCTTTCATACTCCTCCTCCCCAATTTGATATCCAATTTTTCTTTATCTAAATAATTTGATACCCTCATCACCTTACTCTTTCTATGTTCACTTTCAACTTTCTACCTTTACACACATTCCCAAACTCATCCACTAACCTTTGCAATTTTTCTTTAGAATCTCCCATAAACACAGTATCATCAGCAAAAAGTAACTGTCAATTCCCATTTCGAATTTGATTCCCCATAATTTAATCCCACCCTTCTCCCGAACACCCTAGCATTTACTTCTTTTACAACCCCATCTATAAATATATTAAACAACCATGGTGACATTACACATCCCTGTCTAAGACCTACTTTTACCGGGAAGTAGTCTCCCTCTCTTCTACACACCCTAACCTGAGCCTCACTATCCTCATAAAAACTCTCTACAGCATTTAGTTACTTACCACCTATTCCATATACTTGCAACATCTGCCACATTGCTCCCCTATCCACTCTATCATATGCCTTTTCTAAATCCATAAATGCAATAAAAACTTCCTTACCTTTATCTAAATACTTTTCACATATATGCTTCAATGTAAACACTTGATCTACACATCCCCTACCCACTCTGAAACCTCCTTGCTCATCCGCAATCCTACATTCAGTCTTACCTCTAATTCTTTCAATTATAACCCTACCGTACACTTTTCCTGGTATACTCGGTAAACTTATTCCTCTATAATTTTTACAATATCTTTTGTCCCCTTTCCCTTTATATAAAGGGACTATACATGCTCTCCGCCAATCCCTAGGTACCTTCCCCTCTTTCATACATTTATTAAACAAAAGTACCAACCACTCCAACACTATATCCCCCCTGCTTTTAACATTTCTGTCATGATCCCATCAGTTCCAGCTGCTTTACCCCCTTTCATTCTACGTAATGCCTCACGTACCTCCCCCACACTTACATTCTGCTCTTCTTCACTCCTAAAAGATGGTATACTGTATAGCCCTTGTGGCTTAGCGCTTCTTTTTGATAATAATAATAATAATAAAAGATGGTATACCTCACTGGCCAGTGCATGAAATTACCGCCTCCCTTTCTTCCTCAACATTTAAAAGTTCCTCAAAATATTCTCGCCATCTACCTAATACCTCCCTCTCCCCATCTTCTAACTCCCCTACTCTGTTTTCAAAGTTGATCTTATTATGGATATTTTTATGAAATGCTGTACACACACTGAACACTCATATCTGATATGGCTTCTCTATGTACTCAGATGACATGACTGTGTACTCAGATGTCATGACTCTGTACTCAACCATCACCATGACTACCAAGCACCACCACCATGACTTCCAAGCACCACCACCATGACTTCCAAGCACCACCACCATGACTTCCAAGCACCACCACCATGACTACCAAGCACCACCACCACCACTACCACCTACATTTCAGAAGCATTGCACCTTGACGACACACCTCCACAGTTTCTTAGTACCTAGTGTTCACCAGTGGACACAAGCTGGCACTAACAGTCTGATAAATCAGCTCTACAAAGTTTCCCGGATCTTCACGCACTTCGACAGAAGTATAGAAAATGAAGACGAGGACAATATCTCCTTTATTACCAGTTGACAATTATAATACAAATACTTCACAACAAGTGTCCAGTGTTCGTCTCTACTGTAGTGTTTACATTCCTTAACAAAGTTTCGCACTAGGTAATGACAGAAAATTCAAAAAATTTTAAATAAAAATTTATGGATTTTAAAACGCATTTTCGGAAAACTTTTTTCGGCAACATAGAGCCAAGGGGTGAGGGCCTCCTTGAGATGGAGGTAGGGGTGGAGGAGGGCAGCATGCCCCTCAGGACGGAAGAGAAGGGGAGCATGTCTCTTAGTCGGCAGGAGGAGGAGGAACTCCCGGCAGACACCGACAATCGGCAGGAGAAGGAAGTCCTACTGGCAGGCACCGAAAGTCGGGAGGAGGGGATGACCCTCTTCGAGATGTACCTTCAGGAGAATGTGGCCATCCTCAAGACAGTCCTTCAGAAGGTGACTTCCCTTGAGGAAAAGGTGACATCCCTTGAGGAGAAGATAACTTCACTTGAGGAGAAGACAACCACCCACTTCAAGACCGCCCTGCAGAAGGCCACTTCCTTGGAGAAGAAGGTGACCATGTTCTCTCAGACCTCGCTGGAGGACCCCAGCACCACCATCCTGCAGGAGACGACGGACACACCTTGGAATGAAAATGGGGGGAAGCAATTTTCCAATACCCTTTTCTGTAGTAGGGAAATGAACCTTCAGGAGGGCACTAACACCAAGGTTCTTCCTGACACAGACATTCAGTACTCGAGCACCGACACCAAGGTTTTTCCCTGACACAGACATTCAGTACTCGAGCACCGACACCAAGGTTCTTCCTGACACAGACATTCAGTACTCGAGCACCGACACCAAGGTTCTTCCTGACACAGACATTCAGTACTCGAGCACCGACACCAAGGTTCTTCCTGACACAGACATTCAGTACTCGAGCACCGACACCAAGAACCTCCCTGACCCTCGCAGCACAACCCTGAAGAGGAGGGGTTTCAAGGACTTTTTCAAGTGTAATAAAAAGAAGTGCCCTAAGAAGATGAACTCCGGTAAAGAAGTCCTCTCCGGGATCTCTCACAAGAAGACAAATCCTGACAGCACAACCCTGAACAATGGTTCTCGGTTAAAACAGTTTTTCAAAAAGTATTTTAAAGGAAAGAAGAAAGAAGATACCGACGGTGGGCAGGAGGAGGAACTCCCGGCAGACACCGAAAGTCGGGAGGAGGAGGAAGAACTCCCGGCAGACACCGACTGTCGGCAGGAGGAAGAACAACTCCCGGCAGACACCGACTGTCGGCAGGAGGAAGAAGAACTCCCGGCAGACACCGACTGTCGGCAGGAGGAGGAAGTCGTCCTGGCAGACACCGACTGTCGGCAGGAGAAGGAAGAACTCCCGGCAGGCACCGGCAGTCGGCAGGAGGAAGTCCTCCCGGCAGACTCTGACAGTCGTGGTGGGCAGTGTCTGCTGAAAAGAACTCTCTCTTTCCATTCCATCTCCATCTTCCTCTCCTCTCCGTTCCTTTGCTGTCGCAAAGGGGAGGGAAGGACCACCACTAAAGCCAACCCGACCGTCACTACTTGAGGGATTGACAAGTGACAGTCGGCAGGAGGAAGCCCTCACTGACACTGTCAGGTACATCCCTGAGGCTTCGTTTCAGAATTTACAAGAAAGAGAAGGAACGCATTCCAATGAGAAATGGCCAAGTTTGTTCATGGTGGCCCCTCTGGACGATTTTCCGAATACTGTGAGGCAAAATGTGGTTGTGTGTGAGTGTTGTAACAAGACTAATGTCTGGCACAGTAGTTTTGAACATACCAGTCAGCTCTGCCGTTTTTGTGATAATATTATTACTGCGCCCCCACATATTAAGCGTCAGGAGAGCCTCATCAACGAATATACGATAGTGACTGACACTACGGAGTGTGTTACCTACGCTCTCGTAGCTGATGCTCAAAATGCTTTCATGAGAAAAATGGTGAAAAATATCTTTCTGAGTTTTTTCTGCAAGAAAGGTATAAAAATATACGTGGTTTTGTACAACAGTACAACTTGTAGCGTGTACGATGAGTCTGATAGATTTGAGGGTTTTGTAGACAGGATGTCATCGACGACGGTGACTGGTAAGTGGACACACAAGGTTTCTACTTTAGTAAACGGATAATTCTGTTGGCTGTCTGAAGCCCTTAGAGTGGCATCAGACAAAGTGCCACCCATCACCGGTAAAATCATCGTACTTCATGCTGGCAAAAGTATGGTAAAATCCGCTAAGAGGGTCTTGCAAAACTCGGAAAGAATTATTACCATTGTTAACGTTGATGGGCCCGAGAAAGTTTACCTCGATGACAACACTGAGGCAGCGCTGTGTAAGTCAGGTGGGATCAACCTTGGTGTGGAATTCCAGGATTCAGTAATATTTGTAATTATGAACGAGTTAGGTATCCTGGAAGATATGGCTTATGACGCCAAGTTAGAGATTTGCATGTCGGACGGATGTCGAGTTCTCTATCCACTTGGAGAGTCTTTGTCCTGCGGTACCATGGAAGTTGCTAGTGACACTAGAATTGTCATGACCTTTCCAACTATGCGCCCAGCAGACTGTTTATACGTACGTTACAAAAAGGTTTTGCCAGAACCAATTCACGTACACGTCCGTTTCAGCTACCTTGACGGGAGAGGGCACTTAGTTGAAAGATCATCAATCTCCGAAGTCTACGCTGACAGTCAGGAGGAAGTCCTTCCTGACACTGTAAGTCAGGATTGCGACGTGCCCTAGGCCTCACGCCAGAAGCCACAAGAAGAAAGAGGAGGATCCCATCCCAATGAGAATTTGCCAAGCGTTCAGATAATCTGAGCCAAAACGTGGTCGTCCTTTGACGTATCGAGGTCCTTGTGGCACAGTGGCCCCTGATGCATCAAGGACCCTGGCGCAGTATCGTATCGCTGGGCGGCATCAAGGAACCTTGTTATCTACTAGGCTGCATCAGGGAACCCTGTTATCCAATGGGCGGCATCGGGGGGACCCTGTTATTCACTGGGCCGCATCAGGAGGACCCTGTCATCCCCTGGGCCGCATCAGAGGACCCTGTTATACACTGGGCCGCATCAGGAGACCCTGTTATACACTGGGCGGCATCGGGGGACCCTGATATACACTGGGCGGCATCAGGGGGACCCTGTTATCCACTGGGTGGCATCACAGGGACCCTGTTATCCACTGGGCGGCATCAGGGGGACCCTGTTATCCACTGGGCTGCATCAGGGGGACCTTGTTATCCACTAGTAATTCAGTGGTGATTGCTAAAGCAGATACTAAGTGTACTAGGGACTGGAAAAGAGAAATAAATATTATTGTATATGAGTAAAAGAGCGAAGAGTGAAAATGGCAGGCATTAGGGGGGTACAGGCTGCCATAATTATATTTATCTTTCTTCTTCAATTCCATGAAGAAAGAAATCAGTCATGGGGGCTGGAAAAGGTGAATGGAGTAACAGCGCCCTGGACAGTAAAAGCCCAAAAAGTTGCCATCCTACCAGAAAAGTAAATATCACTATCGCTGCAAGGTATGGCAACACCACATACCAAACAAAACAGTGGCACACAGCTCTTATTGTAGCGCTCTTAAGTGGTGATATCCAAATTTTAAACCAGGACCTCAAACTATTGCGCAGAGACAAAACAGACAGATAAATGACGGCGATAATGACGGTCTAGTAGCTAGGAATGATAACCTTAACTCCATATGTAATGCATACATAGGTCAATGTGAGACGATACAGCCATTATTATCTCAAACACTACCAAACAGGTGCATACACTGTACTAAAGTACGCATGAAAAGCAGAAAAGGCACCTTATGTAAAATGTGTAAGGGGTGGGTGCATGATGGATGTATGTACAATTATAGCAACGGTGCCAGAATTCATTTTGTGTGTAACAAATGCACTTTGGCACAGTTACCCTTTAGCAGTGATGACATTGATTTACCTAATTTTAATACAAATGACCCATTGCCATATACTGATGATTATAATTGCTTTATGAAAACAGGCCTTCACTTTATTCATGTCAACGCAAGATCACTTCTTCCTAAATTGGCAGAGATTAGGATTCTAGCTAACAAAATTAGGGCGGCAGTTATAACCATCTCTGAATCCTGGTTGGATGATACGGTGACTGACGACGAGGTCAAAATAGAAGGTTGCAATATAAAACGCTTAGATAGGAACAGAAAGGGTGGTGGAGTATGTGCCTACATTAGAAATGACTTAGCTTACAACCAAGACCTGATTTAAATAACATTAAACTGGAGATTCTATGGTTTGAAGTGCTGCTTCCCAAGACCAAACCCATCTTAGTAGGAACTAGTTACCGCCCTCCTACCCAGGACCAGTTCTTAGAAGACTTTTCCAGAGTATTGTCCGGACTTAAAAACAATTGCGAGACAATAATACTGGGCGACTTCAATATCTGTTTTCAGCAGCAAAATAACGGGCTATGCAAAAGGTATAAGCAAATTCTAGGTTTAAATAGTTACACTCAACTAATTAATACACCAACCCGGATCACACAGTTCTCAGGAACCCTATTTGACCACATACTTTGTAACCGCTCTGAGAACATTAGTCAGGCGTCATTACCACAGGCCTTAGTGATCATTTCATCATTTACTGCACCAGGAAAATCACTAGGGATAGGATAGGCCTACACAGGACAATAAAATGAGGTCAACTAGAAACTACAATAAAAGAAACACTGGTAAATAGGCTACACAATTGTGACTGGACAGAGATAACAAGTTGCACGGACGTAAAAAGATGCCTGGGAAAAATTCAAAACAATGTTCACTACCATCCTTGATAATATTGCACCAGTTAAAGAGGTTAGGATTAAACGAAGAACTGAACCTGGATGAATACTGAGATATTAGATAATATGAAATTCAGAGACCAGCTGCTAAAAAGATTTAAAGCAAACAGACAGGATATTGCAGCACTAAATGGATTCCAAAGGGTGAGGAACAGAGTACAGAGACTTATAAAAGGAGCAAAGGCAAAACACTATTGCTCAAAAATTGAAGAGTATAAGCATAACCAGAAAGCTCTGCCAACAACTAAAACAGTTGGGGTATAGCCATAAACCAGTAGATAGGTCTAACATAGTACTCACTATCGATAATGAGGTATGCCACGAAACATCTAAGGTGGCAAATTGCTTTAATTCATACTACACATCTGTTGCATCAACACTAGTAAGTAAACTACCAGCTGCATTATTATTATTATTCAAAGTGGATGAATAATAGGCTGAAATATCTACTAGGGCATAAGAAAGGAATTTATAGGCGTATCAAAAGAGGCGAGGGTCATCTTATGAATCAGTATATTGACATTAAGAGGGACATTAAAAAGGGGATAAGAAAAGCTAAAAGGGACTATGAAATTAAAGTTGCTAGGGATTCTAAAACTAACCCAAAAAGTTTTTTCCAGGTCTATAGAACAAAAGTCAGAGATAAGATAGGTCCCCCTTTAAAAATAACTATGGGCACCTTACTGACAAAGAGAATGAAATGTGCTCGATTTTAAATAATTATTTTTCTCTCGGTTTTTACACAGGAAGACACTAATAATATTCCGGTAATTAATTTTTATAGTGGATCAGAAGATAAATTATGTAACATCACAGTCACTAGTGAAATGGTTGTGAAGCAGATAGACAGACTGAAGCAAAATAAGTCACCGGGTCCTGATGAGGTTTTTTTCAAGGGTTCTAAAGGAATGCAAAATGGAAGTCTGTGAACCATTAACTAATATTTTTAATTTATCTCTTCAAACAGGTGCAGTGTCTGATATGTGGAAGATGGCTAATGTAATTCCTATTTTTAAAACAGGGGACAAGTCGTTACCGTCAAATTACCGCCCAATAAGCCTGACCTCAATTGTAGGCAAATTACTAGAGTCAATTATAGCTGAGATTATAAGAAGCCATCTCGATAAGCATAGCTTGATTAATGATACTCAGCATGGATTCACAAGAGGCCGGTCTTGTCTAACTAATTTATTAACTTTCTTCAGTAAAGCTTTTGAGGCTGTTGACCACGATAAAGAATTTGATATTATATACTTAGATTTTAGTAAGGCATTTGATAGAGTTCCGCACCAAAGACTGTTGAAGAAAGTAGCAGCTCATGGCATTGGGGGAAGGGTGCTCTCGTGGATCGAATCATGGCTCACAGACAGGAAGCAAAGAGTGTCCATAAATGGGGTTAAATCCGAGTGGGGATCAGTAACAAGTGGCGTTCCACAGGGATCAGTCTTGGGCCCGTTGTTGTTTATAATATATATCAATGATCTTGATGAAGGAATTACTAGTGATATGAGCAAATTCGCCGATGACACGAAGATAGGTAGGATAATTGATTCAAACGTAGATGTTAGGGAACTTCAGGAGGATTTAGACAAACTCTACTCTTGGTCAGAAAAGTGGCAGATGCAGTTCAATGTAGATAAATGCAAGGTTCTGAAGCTCGGGAGTGTCCATAACCCTAGCACTTATAAATTAAATAATGTAGAACTTAACCATACAGATTGCGAAAAGGACTTGGGGGTTATGGTAAGCAGCAACCTTAAACCAAGACAGCAATGCCTAAGCGTACGTAATAAGGCAAATAGATTACTGGGATTTATATCAAGAAGTGTAAGCAACAGAAGTCCAGAGGTCATACTGCAGCTTTATACATCATTAGTAAGGCCTCACCTAGATTATGCAGCTCAATTCTGGTCTCCATATTACAGAATGGACATAAATTCGTTAGAAAACATTCAGCGTAGGATGACTAAATTAATACATAGCATTAGAAATCTTCCTTATGAAGAAAGATTGAAGACTCTTAAGTTACATTCACTTGTTAGACGAAGAATGAGGGGAGACCTGATCGAAGTGTATAAGTGGAAGATAGGTATTAATAAAGGGGATATTAACAAGGTCTTGAGAATATCTCTCCAAGTGAGAACCCGCAGTAATGGATTTAAATTAGATAAGTTTAGATTTAGAAAGGACATAGGAAAGTATTGGTTTGGAAATAGGGTAGTAGATGAGTGGAACAGTCTACCTAGTTGGGTTATTGAGGCTAGGACTTTGGGTAGTTTCAAATTTAGGTTGGATAAATACATGAGTGGGATGGGTTGGATTTGAGTGGGACTTGCACATCAGAGCTTATTTCTTGGGTAGCATTGAAAATTGGGTAGGTCAAATGTTTGTTAGTGGGATGAATTGTAAAGGACCTGCCTAGTATGGGCCAACAGGCCTGCTGCAGTGTTCCTCCTTTCTTATGTTCTTATGTTCTTTAACACAGAGTCTGATAAGTTTCAAACATACTATACCAATAAAGGGGTAACCCCAAACAGATGTCAACTAGTAAGTGTATCTCATGGCTTTATTCAAAAAGAACTAAGTAGGTTAAACCCAACTAAGAGCACAGGCCCTGATAACATCCCGTCTAAGTTCCTAAAAGATGGTGCTTCTGAACTGTCAATCCCTATTGCTCACATAATAAATCTATCAATCACCACTAATACCGTACCGGAGGGGTTCAAGGAGGCCAGAGTTACTCCTATCTTCAATAAAAATAGTAGGTCTCATGTCAGCAACTATAGGCCTGTAGTATACTCAATATAATATCCAAAATTCTAGAGAGGGCGGTGTACTCTCAAGTAGTTAAGTACCGTAATGACAACAACATTCTCCATAGCTATCAATCTGGCTTTAGAAGATCTTACTCAACCGACACCTCCCTAATTAATCTGATGGATTACCTGAGAACTGAAATGTCAAAGGGGAACCTCAAAGGTATGGAAACCTTAGACCTGCAAAAGGCCTTCGATACTGTCAACCACAATATATTATGTACGAAACTTCAAGCTATCGGTATAGGTTCTGTAGACTGGTTTAAGTCCTACCTTAGCGACAGGAGACAAATTGTCAAAATCAACAAAACGGAATCAGAACCCCTGCCGATAACATGTGGAGTTCCCCAAGGTAGTATTCTGGGTCCCTTATTATTCTTATGTTATGTCAATGACATGCCTATCAGTGTCAAGTGCAAACTCTTACTGTATGTGCCTACATTAGAAATGACTTAGCTTACAACCCAAGACCTGATTTAAATAACATTAAACTGGAGATTCTATGGTTTTGAAGTGCTGCTTCCCAAGACCAAACCCATCTTAGTAGGAACTAGTTACCGCCCTCCTACCAGGACCAGTTCTTAGAAGACTTTTCCAGAGTATTGTCCGGACTTAAAAACAATTGCGAGACAATAATACTGGGCGACTTCAATATCTGTTTTCAGCAGCAAAATAACGGGCTATGCAAAAGGTATAAGCAAATTCTAGGTTTAAATAGTTACACTCAACTAATTAATACACCAAC